ACAGGGTGTCTGCCTTGTTGTATCCGCTTCCCAAAAGCCGACTCTGTCAAGTAAATTCAAGGCTGCCTTCTTCGCCTGACTGTCCAAAAAAACTTCTTGAATGTTACTGGCGCCGCCATGTTGATTTGCTTGTTTCCCTCTAGAGATGAGGTAGTACTGTAGATTGCCACTAGGAGGCGAGGAACTGTGCTAGCGTGATGTGTTAATAATCGTAAGGAATCGAGATCTGCACGGTTAACTCAGAAATCCCAAGATCCAAAAACTCATTTTCAACAACTGTTTTAATAACTAACTGTAATTTCTTAAACACAAAGCAGAACTTACTCAATACTTTCAATCGTCCAGCCTAGAACATCTGTTGTGCTTTTGATTCAGTAGACATGTGTTAAGGAAGAAAATATTCAAAAATAGTTAACTTTGGAAAAAGGTTGGCTTTTCATTCTTCCTTTCCCAGGTCCACTCGGCGAGCTGCGTGTGGTCACAATGATAATTAGCAAGGCGTGTTGACGTCACAGAATTACAGAGTTTAATCCAAAATAAGACAATGCACAAACCTAGACCAGAAACTGCAGAACAACAGAGACATACATTCCATTACCTGACATAGGAGGAAAGAAAGCAAAGACGTACAAAGACATCTTTGGAGAGTTGCAAGAATGTTGCAAAATCTGATTTGTTACTTCTATGTAGAAAGCTTTATCCTCTTGTATTTAATTTATTCAAATAAGGCTGGCTTTTGCTCCTCCAACCAGGAGCTCTCTCTGACACTCAGAAAAACTTAGACCTTCACCTAATTTACTGCCGGGCCTACAGGAATTCTTAAAGTCATAAAACACAAGATAAGCTTTCACAGAATCGATGTGGAATGTTGGGGGCCTTTTCCTGATTCAGTTTCACACCATCCCTGGTTGTTTATTCTGGAAGACTTTTGACCTTCTGTAAACCAAGCAGACCTCTCCCCTGAGGCTCAACTGGTATTCACCCCCCCAGGAGATACTCATTTTATGGCCTGGTGCTNCTCAACTGGTATTCACCCCCCCAGGAGATACTCATTTTATGGCCTGGTGCTTTAAATACTTACCCCTTAGTTTTAAATCATTAACACAACCTTGTTCAAAATTAAGAAATATGGTCAAAATGAGAGTGTTCAACATACCTTTTACACATGCCATAAGATTAACTGTATTAAAAACTAAAAATAATAATTTTTCTTTAACACATGGTCATACTTTAGTATATTCTGCTGTAAAATGAGTCTTAAATTTTCATTTTTTAGTCGAGGATTCAACCGATTTCACAGGATGCACAGCTTTGAGTGGTAACTAGGTGACTGTCAGAAAGTAAACCGAAACTTATTGGCTTGTTTTTAAACCAATCAGCACGCTCTCTGATCAACCAGTCGCCTGGAACGTTGTTGAACAGAGCATCGCTTTGGACAGATAAACTGTACTCTCCTCCCCGCACCCCGCTCTCTCTTGTCTGCGCAATCGAAGTACTTCTAATCTATCACTCGTATTAAAAAAACACCACCTCACATAGTCTAAAATCCGGGACTTGTAGGAATCCGTGACCAACTATCGATATCAGGGAGACTCCTGGAACTTCCGGGAGACTTGGGATGTCTGTTACCTGATCCAAGCTCGGTACGGATCGTTTTTCATAGGGTAGAGTAAATGGAGCTATAGAGTCTTAATATTTAGTTTAAACCAAAAAAAACGGTGACCTTCTAAAGGTGGCTTAAATAAGCAACCGTGTTTAAGATGCTGAAGAGAGAATCAACACCAGTCTGTTGGCATAGATGTCAGTCATGTGAAAAATAACAGGATGATGTTACCGGATATGTGTGCCTGTAAAAACACTAAACCGACCGAAGCGCAACGATTTGCTCTGAAAGCAAAACCAGAGAGCTACTCCATTTAAAAAAACAGTTTGTGTTCTGCAGGCAACGAGTGCTCGCAGGATGAGTATGGTGCGGCGGCCATCTTTGCCACACAGCTGGATGACTTCCTGGGCGGTGGGCCGGTCCAGTTCAGGGAGATGCAGAACAACGAGTCCACCACCTTCCTGGGATACTTCAAGTCAGGCATCAAGTACCAGGTGAGCCTCACTGGGCTGCCCAGAACAACGAGGGCAAAGCGAGATCCTTGGTTTAAAATATATGTAGGATGATATCTATAGTTAAAAAAAGCTTTATTTCTGTAAAGTTAGGAAGCTGAGGCAGAGGCATTTCTTGCAAGAAAAAAGGTTCAAATTAATTTAACATCCTCAGATGGAGAGATAGAGCTTTGACTGGGCAAAGCTCAGTAGATACATTTATACCTTACAAAAATCCCAACACACACCTTGGAACTATCCCACCCCCGGCACAAAGAACTTTCTCACACAAGAACACTGTTAGGTTCATATATCTTTCACTGGCCAGATGGATCCCCTCAAAACAGCAGTCCTCCACTTCATGCCATGAAGGAAGCGTTGTGACTCCTTTTTATCTCTCATGACCTTCGATTGAAGCCTGTAATACGGTGGCCCTGAAGTGCAAACTGCAACTACAAATCTAAAAGCGCAACTACA